AGAAGACTTCTGTACCTGCAGGAGAGTCACACACCCTGTGAAAGTAACCAGGGGGGCAAAGACTTTAACTAGAGGTTATCAATGAAGGAATGAGCATAAAATTCATATGTAGCAGAATGAATAGATGAATGGATGTGGACAGATCTTCAACAGCCTCTCATCTCCTCAGTAGCAGAGATTTCACACTGGAGAGGAGTTCTCTGAATATAGTGAGAATGGGGAAATATTCACTCACAGCTCCACATTGACTGAACAAGTGTTAACGCACACTGGAGAGAAGCCCCGTAAATGTAACGAATGTGGGAAACACTTTAGCCAGAGAGCTACCTTTTGTTCACACCAGAGACAAACCCTTTGCAATCATTATGGAAATGCCTCCAGTAATAATTCATCCTTCAAATGACACAAGTGAATCACACTGCAGAGAAGCCATAAGAATATCATCTATGTGGTAAAGCCTTAGTTGATGCTCTAACCTTAGCCATAAAACAGCATACACTGGAGAGGAACCCTAGAGACGTAATGAATTTGAAGGAACCTTCAGTCCCAGCTCTAACCTTTATAGACACCAGAGAGTTCACGCAGGGGAGAAATGCTGCAGCCTTCAGCCATCTCTCAGGCCTTGGTCTGCACAGAAAACTCAAACAGGAAGGGACACAGCAAGTCTTTACCAGGAGGAGGAAGCCATTTGGGAAATACCAGACAATTCATGCTGGAGACGCAATTCAATGAAATAAACATGGGAAACCCATTACTCATAGAGCAGCACTCCAGGGCACGTGAGGACTTCTACTGTATCAGACACTCTCAGTGTCATGAATGAAATGATCTCACCTTAGTCAGCCTTAAAGTTCTCACACTTGGGAGTTCCTTAAGCCTCAAGTCAATGTAGAAATGCCTTCATCTGGATTTTATATAAGAAAATTCATACTCAGGGAAAAAAAATACTCTATCAAGAAGAACCCTTTAGTACACAATTCAACATATAATTAGACTTCTGCCAAATGACATATTACTGAAAATAATACCATGTAAAGATGTAGAACTGTGATGCATTCTTAGAAAAGTTGAATGCAGATTTTGGTGAGATGTAATAAACAATGTGATAACCCCTCTTCAGTAGATTAATAAGAGTTGTTGCTGAAAAATCTAATACATGGGTATTTGTCTTTAAAAAAATCATGAGGGCTTCCCTGGTTGCGCAGTGGTTGAGAGTCCGCCTGCTGATGCAGGGGACACGGGTTCGTGCCCCGGTCCGGGAGGATCCCACATGCTGCGGAGCGGCTGGGCCCGTGAGCCATGGCCGCTGAGCCTGCGCGTCTGGAGCCTGTGCTCCGCAACGGGAGAGGCCACAACAGTAAGAGGTCCGCATATTGCAAAAAAAAAAAAAAAAAAAAAAAATCATGAAACATTATGGTGAGTAATTGAGGCATTTTCCTTTACTGCATCGCTGTTGATCAGCTGATCAGTTTCAGTTTTGTACGCAACTGTAAACGTATTTACAAGGACTTTGTGTAATCAGAAAATACCTTTTAATGTAACGGAAAAAGCGTAGAATACAAAACATGTGTTCTAATTATTCTATTTGTGTTTAAATATGTACCCACATGGCAAGGGTGAATGGAAACATGGACAAACAAGCACAGTTTATAAGTGATTCAGATATCCCAGGTGATACTGATGGGGGTGGTATACACACCATATTTTATTAAATAGAAATAGAAAGATAAATAGAAAGGTTTGGAGTTGAGAAATATGTGAAAAAGCACTGTATCAAGTGTACAATATTGCTGAAATGTTGAGTTTTTGAGAGAGAGAAGAGATGAGAGCCTTGTATACCTTTTTCTTAAAAGCAAGAGAAAACCATTAGAGGGTCTTAAGCAGCAAGTAAAACAATGAGATTTTTAGAAGGACGCAATAGCTACCATGTGGAGATTGACTTGGATGGGAGGAGAGCAAAATTGGAGTTGGAATACAATTTAGATAACTTCTGCAATGACACAAACATGAGCTGATGACCTGGACCAAGATGATGGCAGCAAGGAGTGAAGAGATGAGGACTGATTCAACAGATTTGTAGGTAGTATTGTCTACAGGACTTGGATATTGAAGATGGAGGACTCAAGAATGACATCTCGGTTTCTGGCATGGGAACCTGACCAGGGCAGGTGGCAGTACCCTTTATGGACACAGGGAATATTGGAGAACCAGATTTGGTAGACAAGGAGAGTTCAGTTTTGGACATTTGGAGTTTGTGTTTGTGAGATTTTCAGATCCATTAAGTGATTGAATATTTGGCATATAAATGTCTGAAACCACAAGTATGGCAGAGATCATCCAGAGAGGTTATATAGTGTGTGAAAAGCAGAGGGCAAAGGATCAACCCTGAGAAACTCCAGTGTAATGGGAGGGAAAGAAACCTACAAATGAGATTGAAGGAAGTGGCCAAAGATGACAGGACTCCAGAATCCAAGGGACGGCGGAAGTGGTCAACTCTGTCAGACACTCTAGGGGAGTCAAGACTGTAATGAGCAGATGAAGTTAATGATGCCTATGTCATTGGTGATCTTAACCCAGACTGTTTCAGTGGAACAGTATAGGAGGCAACAGAGCGCAGAGCACTAGAGGTGAGAAAATCCAGTCAGTACGTGCAGACACTGCTCCAATAATTTGATGGGAAAGAGAGGAGAGATGTAAGGTAGAAGTTAAAGCAGTGCTTGAATTGAGAAATAGTTTTGTTTTGGATGGAAAATCTAGGAGCATATTTAAATAGTAATGAGAAAGAGCCAGCAAAGAAGGAAGGGTTCAAGAAAGACTAGAGAGGGGGGAGATAACTGATAAAATTAGGTCACCAGGAAGTCGGAGACGGTGGGATCCAAAGCACATTAAGGTCCTGTCCTTTTGTCACAGGCTAGATAGAGGAATCGATGGGTTTGTAGTGAACCAGGGTAAGTGCCCCAGGGGGGAAAGGGTTTTAGTCTTTGAGTGAGAGTAGGAGGGTGTGGAATCTAAGGTGGGTAGAAAATAAGTCAAGGCAGGAAAAAGCTGATAGAGAACAAGAAGGATAAAATCGCTCCATGAACCTATTGAAGGTTGAAAATTTGATGTATTAAGCGTAATTGGATAAATGACCCCAAAGGATAGGCAGTGTTCAGAGAACAGGATGCCTATTTCAGAGGTGGAGCAGTTTTAGGTCTGACACAGCCCAGGGTGCACTCGCAGGGGTGGTGGGGAAGATGAGGAGACACCCTTCTAAAAGGCTGGGATACACGGGCCGTGGGAACAGTGAAGTCTCCAACAGTGGTGGCGGAACTCGGTGTGGAGACCAAGGCACCAAAGTCATAAAAAATAAAAGTAAAAGGAGAGTGACCAGGAGTTTGTTAACAGCTATAAGAAATGGTCGAGAGCAATTATCCTGTACCACTGGCTCTAACCACTCCCTCATCCTCTTCCCGAGCCCCTCAGAAATATTCTTTTAGCAAATACATTGCTGGTTATGCAGAAATGACTTCAAAACAAGCCTTCTAACAGGGGTTCCAGGGAGCTCTGTCTGGGAAAAAGGGGAGGAGTGTGAGGTTGAGTCAGGGAAGAGAGACTAGAGAAGAGCAGTTTTGGGGTGAGCACTGAAGAGGATTCATGATCTGAAGGGGGTACATTTGGGGCAGTGACAGAGGAAAGCATGACTGGAGGTGCTGCTTTTAGTTGGTGGGGGGTTTCTTAAGCTAAAAGGCACTGCCAGTGTCCTCTATCCATTAAAAATAAATTAATTAAAGACTTAGGTGGAAACCCTGGGAAGGAGGTAAAGTGGGAGGGGTGTGTGTGTGTGTGTGTGTGTGTGTGTGTGTGTGTGTGTGTGTTGGCAGTTGGATTGGGTGGGAGTTGAAGGAATTCTTTGTGGTGCCTGAGGGCAAATATTGCTAAGCCATGATCTTAATTTTAAATCTTTTATTGTAGTTTAAGCATATTCATTTCTTCAGGCATCTAGTTGAAATAAGTCTCTCATCTACATAAGAAATTGGTTCCTAGATTTGGGAAATTGTTACTGAGCTCCGGTGTCTAACCACTTGTTTAACAGGCATTTATTTAGGGTCTTCTAGGTACCAGGCACTGAGCTGGCCCTAGGATTACAAAGATAAACATGAATTATGGCTTTTTATAAGTTCTTTTAAATAATGCATCACTATCATAGATTCATTAACCATATTTTCTTACAACCTTCAAAAATATTGATTTGATAGAAGGTATACTCCTAGTTGATCAGACACTACAGTAGAATCAGTGTGTTAATGTTTATGATTAAACCTATTAAAGAACTTCCAGTTTTTAAAAAAATCTGGCTAACAGCTACTTCCAAAATCTACCTTGTCCAGTTTTCCTCATCTGTTTATTTTAAATGTGTTAACATTCCTTAAATCCTTTCTGATCGATGCTCAGTGTCTGTTAAACACAAAAGCGCATAGGAGTACCTTACCATCTGAATTTGTTTCTAGTCTTCCTAACTTCCACACTTGTTTTAAGGAAATAACACATGTGGAGTCCTATAAAACATATTACATGATTTTTAATCTTAAATATAAACTACCTGATAAAGTAGGTAGTTTGGATCTTGTAGTGGAATCTTGTCTGGATCTTACAGAGGAATCTCAGATTTCTTCAAATTCTGCTGCTAGGGCCAGGACCTCTTCCACACGTTACAGTTGAAGAAGAAAACAGTGTTATCATTAACACGCTGGTGGATCCAGTGTGTCAGCTTCTATAGAAGGGGCTCACCTTCCTGTATCCACCACTCCAGACCAGCTGGAGGAAGAGCCTGGAAATCACTCCCCACATCACTTATATTTTCAGAGATCTGATTCATGCCTGGTCCTAAGAAATGCACAGTTTCTTTGTAATGGTCTTTAAAAGAGTATTCCCTCATTCAACAAAAGTCTACTTCAAAGTACCTAGAGTATGAGGTTGAATGTGTGAAATCTTTTTGTGTATTTGTATTTTCTTTATAGGATAAAGATGCACAGAAAGAGGTGAAAAAAATAAACACTTCCTTGAAGAGGTAAATAAAAGAACTTGCTCTTCAACAAATCAGATGTGGTCTACTAAAATTTAAATTAATCAAAGTTGTGTTTTTTTATTATCCTTTTTTCTTTTTTGATGTAAGGGTAATGTGCTCAGATATCAAGGCAAAATCACGTTTCTGCAGAAGGCATTCCACTAGTAGCACTACAAAACTAATCATGTTATTTGGAGGAATCTATTTCCTATAATGTCACTACAAAATGATCTTTAAACATGTACGCTTTAAATTTTTCCTATTAAATTATAGTCTTCAGAATAAAATATTTAAGTCAATTCAATAAAATGAACTCAAGTGAGTGTTTTATTGCTGCTTCAGTGGTAACTTTACAAAACAAAACAATTTCATTAACGTGAATGAAAAATGGAAAAAAAGGCGAAGGACATGAACGAGTTGTTGATAGGAGAGGAAAAACAAAAGGGGAAATATAACTAGTAATTTTAAAAATGTGAAGAAAATTACAATAAGATACTGTTTTACCATCAAATTAGCAAGGATTTCTTTTTTTCTTTAAAGAAACGTTCAATGCTGGCAGTGATGCCATGAGATGGACCATTCTCATACACTGCTGCTGGGAGGGCATTTTGACACAAACATTTGGTAAAGTGTATCTAGAACCTTAAAAATATAAAAACTCTTTAATCTTGTAATTTCATTTTATGGAAATAATCTTAGAGAGAAAGTACACTTATGCACAAATGTTCATAACAACACTATTTTTTACAGCAAAACACTGTGTCCAGCAGTAAGAAAGCAGTTAATCATATTTGAATAAAACTGTAATAGAATATTATTTTGACATTAAAAATAATTTCAAAAATGACATAGGGAAATGCACAGACAATCTTAAGTTCAAGTAGAAGACAAATTAGTATACACACATGATCTCAACTATATGAAAATGTGCGTAGAAAATCATCTATTAGAAATACACTAACCTGGTAGTTGTTCATATTTCTGTGGAGTTGTGTTTGATTTCTAATATTTCCCAATTTTTAATAATTAAACTAAAAGGACTTTTTTAACATTTTTATTGGAGTATAATTGCTTTACAATGGTGTGTTAGTTTCTTCTTTACAACAAAATGAATCAGTTATATATATACATATGTTCCCATATCTCTTCCGTCTTGCATCTCCCTCCCTCCCACCCTCCCTATCACACCCCTCCAGGCGGTCACAAAGCACCGAGCTGATCTCCCGGTGCTATGCGGCTGCTTCCCACTAGCTATCTACCTTACGTTTGGTAGTGTATATATGTCCATGCCTCTCTCTCGCTTTGTCACAGCTTACCCTTCCCCCTCCCCATATCCTCAAGTCCGTTCTCCAGTAGGTCTGTGTCTTTATTCCTGTCTTACCCCTAGGTTCTTCATGACATTTTTTTCCCTTAAATTCCATATATATGTGTTAGCATACGGTATTTGTCTCTCTCTTTCTGACTTACTTCACTCTGTATGACAGACTCTAGGTCTATCCACCTCATTACAAATAGCTCAATTTCGTCTCTTTTTATGGCTGAGTAATATTCCATTGTATATATGTGCCACATCTTCTTTATCCATTCATCCTATGATGGACACTTAGGTTGTTTCCATCTCTGGGCTATTGTAAATAGAGCTGCAATGAACATTTTGGTACATGACTCTAAAAGGATTTTTAAATTGAACTTACCTAGCAGTGATTTCTAGATTCCCCACTACCCTTTAACCAGCCTTATCCTGGAAATCAGGTCAAAGCTTAAATTTACTGTTTGCTATCCCAAATGCACGGACACACATACACACTTACGCACTCAATTTCAAGCCTTGACTTAGTGATACCAGTTAATCAATCTGAACTAGTTTCTCCCTCTTGTCTTTTATAATGGCCCATCGAGATACCTAAATCAATCCAACTGATTCTTGCCCAAACTCTGACAATTGGTCTAACACTGAAACTACTAGCTGGAAGGGACAAGAGTTTTACAGGTACCCTCATGGATACACAGTATCCACAAGGCCATGGCTACCTCTAGCTGTCTCTAAACAGCTAGGCGAATGTGCAAGTCGAGACAGGTGATTCTAGCAGCAGAAAATAATGTAGAATCAACCACATTGTAGGCTTTGTAGGAGCAGCTCATTCCAGCAGAGAGTGGTACAAAGACTTCCGCTAAGAATTATGAGAAACAGCGGGAACGCTCTTTGGTGATGGTGGGACTTGGGATCATAATTGAAACATAACAAGATCTAATCAATCTTGTTTTAACAGAATTCCCATTTGGTCCCTGTAGTCAATACGTTTTCAGTGGACAAGTTGATGTCCCTTGATTGAGTGATCAGTTTCTGAATAAGGACTTAACCCAATAGGAGTGTAACATTTCTAAAAGTTACTTGAATCTTTAAAATCTTGTTAATTTCTGAAACATTGGACAGATTTTTCAGTAGGAGGTTAATGGAGGAAATCTCCCTCCTCACCATGGTAATACCATATCCCCTTCAAAGTAACATCAAAGCCGTGTTCTGTGCTCCGTTCCAGGGTCACGCCTGGTCATAGCTAGTCTTCATCAAGTCATAAAATCAAAGCATCTCTGTGTGATGAAGCCAGCTAAAGACGGTTTCCACATTAAATCCACCTCCCCACCTTTCAAAAGCTGAGTAGTGTTTTTGGATGGCAGCATTATATGTAAATTATTTCACTTACTCCAGTGAATTTCACAGAGTGAACCACTGTGAACTCCTTCTGTAGTTGCTTCACTCACCACTCATTCTGCTGACCTGGGAGAAGACAGAATGGCTGCCGAGTGTTTCTGAAACGATTTCTCCTGGTGGGTCACCAAGGCCAAGCCAGTGGTACAGCCTGCACCACAGACAAAGTACACAAACTCCTAAACTTTCAAGAGAGTTCATGCACGGCTTTGGGAAGGGAGAGTTCCGATCCAGAACTTCTTGAATGTGTTTGATTTCAGAAGATAATAAGGTGCATGTTAAAATTTCTCATAAAACATTCAAGAAGTAACGCAGTGTTCCACTAAAATTTTAACAATTGTCATGTCCATGTAATTTGCAATGTTAGTTATCTTTCTAAGTACTGAGTATCCTTCATTGTAACATGAAAATCTCTGTTGTGCCTAAAAGTTGTCAAAAAGCTTTTCATCTGATAATTTTTGCATACTTCTGAATTATAAGTAGCCGTATAAACAGGTGGATGAGACCGTAGAGACAATCGTCTAGACCAGCCTTCTCGTTTTACCGGTAAACAGTTTAGTCTCTGATATCTAAGAGAACTGGTGAGTGGCTGAGCCAGGACGAGGTACCAGGTCTTGGAATCTCATGTCTTCGGAACCCGTCTTTGAACCCAGGGTCTTTTCCATTTAACCGAGTGGAGTCCAATGTGTTTGGCATAGATGGAGGGGGATGGGAGGGAGGGAAAGAGGTCTGAGAATGGTAACACTTGCATGGTTCTACCTGGTCTAAGTGTTTTGCCTATGTTAGCCCATTTATTTTATTTTTTTTAACATCTTTATTGGGGTATAATTGCTTTACAATGGTGTGTTAGTTTCTGCTTTATAACAAAGTGAATCAGTTATACATATACATATGTTCCCATATCTCTTCCCTCTTGCGTCTCCCTCCCTCCCACCCTCCCTATCCCACCCCTCCAGGTGGTCACAAAGCACCGAGCCGATATCCCTGTGCCATGTGGCTGCTTCCCACTAGCTATCTACCTTACGTTTGGTAGTGTATATATGTCCATGACTCTCTCTCGCCCTGTCACAGCTCACCCTTCCCCCTCCCCGTATCCTCAAGTCCGTTCTCCAGTAGGTCTGTGTCTTTATTCCTGTCTTAATCCTCACAGCAACCCTATGAGGAGGGAACTTCTGTTATTATCCCATTTACAGATAGGGGAGCTGAAGCACGGGATATTAAATACCATGCCTAACACAGCATGAGATCTGAACTTGAGCAGTCGGCTCCAGAGTCCGAGCTGTGGTCTGAACCACCATGCAATCCTGCCAACAAATGGGGGGATGTAGGGAGTAAAAGACAGAAGGTGGAAGGAGAGCAGGAAAAAAAAGAAGGAAGGGAAAGGCAGAAATGGTATAAAAATGGGGGGCGGGGTAGAGAAGGATAGTAAGGAAAGAAGGAAAAGAAAAGTAGAGAGCAAAGAAAAATCTTTCCTTTTCTTTTTGGATATTGATACCCATTTTCTGGTTTCACATCATAAATTCCCAACAACCTTTTGTGTATCTTGCCTTGTATTAAATCTGTTTTTATATTTCCACCTTCTCCGCCCAAGATAAGGAAAGAGAAAAAAGGGAGGATGGTGAAACCTGTTGTAAATGACTAGTTCCACTTGATCTGTGTGTGTAGGGAGAGCCTCATTATGGACTATATGACCTACTGTTGGGCAATTAAGAAGAATATTTCACTGCACAAGTAAAGACAAGGTCACATTTTAGAACCAAATATAGTTAATATCTTGATGTTCTATGATTTTTGCAGCTCCCAAACCTATATTTTGCTCTAGATGCCTAAAGTCAAATCATATGTTTTAAAAATAGCTTTATTGAGGTATAATTGACATACAAAAAATGTACAGTTAAAGTGTACAATTTGATATGTTTTGAGATATATGTATATATCTCCATGAAACTATCACCACAAATAAACAGCAAAGTTTGCTCCTTTGCAACCCCTTTTTCCTGACTCTCCCTGCACCTCCCATCTCCAACCTCAGGTCTGTTTTCTGTTACTAGCAATTGCATTTTCTAGACTTTTATATAATTGGATTGTACATTATGTACTCTCTTTTTTGTCTGATTTCTTTCACTCAACATAATTATTTTGAGATTCATTCATGTCATAGTGTGTAATAATAGTTCATTCCTTTTTATTGCTGAGGGGTGTTTTATTACATACACCACAGCTTTTTTTCCCTCCATTCACCTGTTAATGAACATTTGGGCAGTTTCCAGTGTTTGATAATTACAAATAAATATATGAGTATTCATATAAATTATTCAAATTGACATACACTTTCATTTCTCTTGGATAGATACTTAAGAGTAGAATGGCTGAATTATATAGTTGATTTATGTCTAGTATTTTTAAAAACTGTCAAAACTGTTTTCCAAAGTATGATTTTACATTCTGACCGGCAGTGTATGAGAGTTCCACTTTTCCACCTTCTTAACAACACTTGTTATGGTCAGTCTTTTTTTTTTTTTAATTGAAGTATAGTTGATTTACAACATTGTATTAGTTTCAGATGTACAGCAAAGTGATTCAGTTACATATTTTTCATTATAGGTTATTACAAGATATTGAATGTAGTTCTGTTATACAATAAAGTCAGTCTTTTTCATTTTTGCTGCTAGTCTATGTGTGTAGTGATATCTACTTGGGATTGTAATTTGCATTTCCCTAATGACAAATTACGTTGAGCATTTTTTCATGTGCTTAGTTGCCATTCATATATCTTCTTTGGTGAAGTCTCTGTTCAATTTTTT